CTTTTACAATGGTAATAAAGCTACATACTATTCGGTACGACACAGATAACAAAAGAGATCCATGTTAATTTCCGGCGAAGAGAAAAAATGGGCGCGCGCTTTTCTGTAGGAAAGCACAGAAGCACCTCAGAATCACACTGGTTGCTGCCTACATCAATTTCAGTCCCGGACGTCGCATAAACACTAGCACCCATTAAACCTCTAGAGAACATTTTAATAGGTCTGATGAAATACGTAACTTTCGAAACACCGCGTCGATATGGCGTTCCCACCATACTCTGTCATATATAGAACACACAGTTTTGGAACCAAAATTTAGATGGCGCTTCAAAAGACGGGAGGCCTTCTGAAGTGACTCAGGGGGCTACCTCCCTCCACAAGAGTTCCACAACTTAGGTAATCTAGTAACGTTTCCTATAAAGGTGTCGCGAACCGGCCGCGGTTCGAGTTCGACCAGGTTCGACTTTTTCGAACTTTTAGTGGAAAGTTCGATGAACCTTCTATTGAGGTTCGACTCGTGTGCGCATGCGCGACAGGCTGGCCAGTTGGCTTCGGATTGAATGATAACGGCTAAGAGATTAATTAAGTGCAGCGCTGATTGGCTATTTCAGTTAATACAGTATTAAAATTTAAGTTATTAACTTTTTCATTGATTAGAATTAGTTTCCTTTAATTGCAGTTGTTCACAATATAAAATACCCCTTTGCATAAAAAAAAAATTTGCTAAACCTAGACATTCTTGTATCAAGGTCTGGCCACACTGTCCACAAAGTCGAACCGGTCGATTCTGGTGAAAAGTTCGAAGGTTCGTCGAACCGGTTTGACCCAGTCGAACCCCGAAAGTTCGACCAAAAAATCTGGTTCGACAAAAGTTCGCGACACCCCTAGTTTCCTATTCAAGAACGCGCTGCTGTGACGACACACGGATGCGGTTGCGCTCATGTCGTAACGGTGCATACGCGGGAGCTTCAATAGACCGATCTCATTAAGTGTTGCCGGCATGCGCGATGCCGCCATAGCTGTAGTTAAAAAAAAAAAAAAACTAAGGGAGGGGTAGTGAGCTCAGAGATCGCTCACGGCTGCCGCACTTCATGTGGACGGCACGAGAGGACGCCGCTAAATCTTAAGCTGCAGTAGCTTACGCTTCGCATTGAATATGCTGCGCTACTGACGTTGTCGTCGTCGTCGTCGTCGTCGTTGCCATCGTAGTTCATTTCTCATAGCGCTTCATTCGACATGCGCTGCAGAAACAACGGGGAAAAGGTCTGAACAAAAGCCAGTTCGCGCTGCCAAACCACCAAGCCAAACCTGCTCGCCAATGCCCTCGAAACTCTTGGATCCCCCAGCCAGATGCTACTGAAGCGACGCCGCGTACATCCGGGACCTCTCCACGCTCGCTGCTTCATAGCAATGGGCGCGTTAAGTTAGTGAGCTCCAGACTCCGGACATCTGCGCTCGAGCGCGCGGGTTCGGAGCGTAGCTTAACTGCGCACTTTTGTTACCGAGGCGACATCTGACGCCTATTTTTTTAACGTTTCCGGTTCCGGTTTTTAGCGCGCGCTTAAACATGGCCCCCGTCTCGTCGAAACGTCAAAAAAGTTTGTTCGACGACGACTTCGATGAAACAAGTGCGCGGAGACGGCAGCAACAGCAAGTGCTTGTATTTGTGCTGCACGCTGTTGGTGCGGCGATTAAAGGTACGCCGAACACCTTCTGAATTCCCATCTTAAAGAATGACGGCTGAATGGCCGAATTTATTGGCTCGCCCGATCCTGAAATTGCGGTAAGGTACACGAACAACTTTGACAAGCATTTGAAGGATGTATGCATACCTTTCTACACCAGCACCATGTTTTTTTTTTTTTATTTTCCAATATGACGGAAAGATTGCACGAGCTGCCAAGCGATCGCCATCGAAGTATCCACGCATCCAAGCAGGCGCGACTTGCGCGTCCGAGAGAGTCCCTAAAGGCTTCGGCGGAAACACGAACGACGCCGAGAGCTCCGAGCACTGCATCGTAGCGCAGAACGAGCAGCTCCTACCCACGACCAGCCTACCTCGGTGCCGTTCCTGGCTAGGCCGGAGCCTTTCGGCTGCGGGGTTCGGTTGGTGCGGTCGCGGTCGGCGAGGTGTGGCGAGGCGAGCGCGGTGGCATCCTCGGAGCATTCGGAAGCGAACTCGCTCACCAGAGATTTCGCACACCCGACGCCTCTGGTCCAGAGTGGCCCGGCGGCCCGGTCCGGAGCCCAAAGCGCTTGGGTTTTGATGTTTCTTGCGTCTCGTGCGAGACCACCGCGTGAAACCACCGCGAGTAACCGCGAGACAGGCCGCGAGAGCGGAAACGTCGTCATTACACCGGAAACCAACCTGTTCGAGCTCTCGCGCACCATCTCCGGCGACGGAGCTCGCGAAGCGCGCTCCGCCACCGTGCACCGGGAAGTGAGACGATGTCGTTTAGTTTAGCTCGAGTGCACTCTGACCGCTGGAGCGCGCTCGAGCGCGTTAACTTAACGCGCCCAATGCATGACGTCCGTCATCGCCTGACCTCAGTACCCCTCCTCTAGTTCACTGTACTGTAGTTCATAGATTTACAGTTCACGAGGCACGTCGTGCCACCCCGTGCCCTGCTCGCGCAGACCCATGTCCAGCGTGCAGAAGGACTACAGTTGCCACGATGGATGGCAGCAGCGGTGCCGTAATAAAACTGGCTGTGATATCGGTCTATTAACTCACATTTGGTTTCTGCTCTCGCGCAGTGCCTACATAGAGTCTGGGTAAACACGGGCTTGTTTGTAAACCTCGTGTTCGATACTTTCAGACTGGGGTCGCACCTGCGGCCCAAATGAAGTCTACAAACGATGTGTGGGCAGCAGCTGCGCTGAACACAAGTGTCATGGCCGTGAGCGCCTGGTCTGCACCAATGACTACGTCAACGGCTGCTTCTGCGCGCCTGGCTTCTACCGCAAACGTGACGGACGTTGCCTTCGCAAAAGCCGCTGCTGAGTTCTTGCGGACTCAAGATGCGCGTAGGCCATCAGCTAAAGCATTGCACGGATCTCAACCGCAATGAATAATTTCTTCCTCAAAATATTCTTTTTGGGATCATCGGGACATGCGATTAATAATGCATCTTATCTTCTTATGTGAGATGTAGTGTTAGTTTCTTGCATTTTGAGGGTGTCTTGGATTTCACGGTGAAGGACACAAGGAATGTTTCTTGCCTTAACTGGCGCAAAAAATAAACGAATATGTATATATACTTGACATGCTGTGCTAACGTATGTGTTTCAAAAGCATTTTCCTTACATTTTTCTTTTTTTTTAATTTTGGAAAGAGCGTGTTTGAACATATCGGAGCTTGGAAACGCTTGTGCCTTCTGCAAAAATTTAAATTCCACATTGGCTGTTTAACAAAAAGTACACCGCTTCACGCTTTCTTTGTGCATACTCCATTAACAGTGTATGCACAAAGAAAGTAAATAAAATATTATTGCTCAAAAATGTTTTGCTAAAATATTTTTTTTGTCGCCAAAGTACTGTCAACCAATTTTATTCCAGGGTCCAATGCACCATACTAAAGAAAGTTGAACTCAAGTTCAATCCACGTCTCAAAATACCTTTATCCCGTCAAATTGCAAAGCTTTAAACGACAGATACCTGGTTAATATTTGTGAGCATGTGAAGTGTTCACAGCTCCAGGAGGTAAAATCATAATGCCGTCTTCTTTCCTCTAGCCAAAATCTAAAATGCCGCTTCTTTTTATGAACACAAACTTATCAAAGTTACGCAAAAAATCGAACGTTTTCCACTTTATGTTTCATACACAAAAACCAGTGGAGCCCGCAAATGTAGCGTGCTCGCAGGTTTTGGTTCCACTCAGCGTGTTCCAATTTTTAATTCTTTATAACCTTAACTTACGTGACGACATTTGGATGAACACTCAGCTCCTGAAAAACTGCTTTTAAGTCTGGAAAGAAGACGTATCAAAATTTGGAAACATTTGAACAAAAATCATGAGTAAGGTTCCCAGCATAAATCTTGCCCAAGATTCTCAAGATAGGGAATCTTGCGCCAGATTTGCAAAGTAAATTTCGCGCCAGACTTGCCAGGGATGAAGCATAAATCTTCCGTGCTTCAAGTTTGTGATTCTAGTTCGGGTTAGCGTGCGAAGGAAGCAAGTTTTTTTCATTCGCTCCAGGCTCAAAATGTTTCTTATAACGTGAATATTGCACCGAACACTTTATTTTTGCGAAGGTTGATCTTATTACATGCATGTGCATTCCAGGTACATACACAAATATTTGGAGGGAAGTGATTAGTGTACCCACGAGGGTACACTGATCACTTCGGTAATCTTTATCTTGTGAAATGCGTTTCCTAACCAAGCACTGTACACAAACAATTTCAGGTAAGTCAGTGGCATATAGTCTCCATAAATACTGAAGCTCCTAAATGTGTGTACATATTAACCGCGTACTCCCGATTTGTGTTCTGCTCCCAAACGTTTCTCACCCCACAACCACTCAGCAAAGACAACAATCTTTTTTTCATATTTCATTAAACTTATACTGGATTGTGTTACAGCAACTGCAGGATAAAAAATACAAAACGTTGCAAAAACTTTACGACAAAGGTTCAGAAAACTATCGTTTGAGTCAGCCAGCAGAAAAAATAAATAAATAAAATACGCATTTCAAGAGGGGGAGTTTTTTCGTTATCTTCCTTTCCAGACGACTGCAGCCCTCCATTTCAGGTCACGTCATATCAGGACATCAGTGAGACCACATGTTATCTGGAGTGCCCGGCAGTAATTTGACCTTAGCAGCTTTTGCGCCAGAAAATCCCTATCAATTAATCAGGCACATGACGCCAATAGGAACAAAGTGTTAACAAACTCGGCTGGTGATAATTCCATTGGGTTTTCCTATCTTTCACCTCTTTTTGTTTTATCGGCTTAACCGATTGTCCTCGTTATCAAAACGGACTCTAGAATATATAAACCCCTCGATCGGGTTCGATGGCTATACACGATTGTTAAGCAGCCATCGAACATCAACAGCGATCAAAAGATGAAGGTGCTTCTGCTCTCCGGCTTTTTGGTTCTTCTGGCGGCCTCTACAGTGTCTGCAAAAAGTAAGACATTTTTACCCGTATATTTTTATTGCTTCGCCAAAAAAAAAAAATCGATTGCAGAGTCGCCTAAAAGTACGTGTAAATGCCTTGAGCAACACTCGAAAAACCACATGGAGTTGGGCAATTTATTTATACTCCGGTCTTTAATTAACTCTAACCTCAGCCAACACTACGATCCCATGGTGCCAATCAAGCAGTGTCAAGACTGCATCATTAAGGAATTCATCTCATCATCTTTGTGAATTAGGTATCACGGTCTATTGCAATCACGCACAGTAAATGCGGAGAGATCCTGGGCTGTTGTGTGCGCGTGATTAATGGAGCCATGTATAGCAGACGCACAAAGACTTTCAGCACCGTCATGATGTGCACTTTCGGCGCAACTTGAGTGGCTCCATTGAATCATAACGTTGGTGTCGGTCGGCCTAATTCTGAAACGAAGCATGCACACACGAGGATGCAACCTCTTTATTAGGCAGGAAGAGCGTTTTACACCTAGGGGTGCCAACCTTTTCCCCGCGTTCGCCTCAAGTAAATGCTGTACGAGCACTTAGCACTAAGGCTATTTTATTTATAAGATGTAGAGAAAAATACATTATGCCGCCAGAAGCTTGAGTGTGTAAAGTCATCATCACGCAAAACAGACGAATTCAGACTTCACATTGCAATATATTTTTTAAATAATTCGTTGAGCTTTAACACGCATTCCAGTAGTCCCTAGTCACTTGTAATTTTTTTTCACTGTAGGTTTAGCGTGCCTTTTTCGTTTACGTATAAGAAACTCTTACTGTTATTAATACTGTTTTAATTAATCATTGTTGTATGCTTTATCCGAGTGTGTTTTTGCTTTGTGAGTGCACAGACTACAGCAACGGAAGTTGGATTAGTTTAGTGCTCGCTGAAAGGGGTAAAATGCCGCATCGAATGATTTCTGCGTGTTAATTCATGCATCCGACTGCCAAATTGAAACCATAGAACATGTAGAACCACCTTCCAACCTATTTTGTTCTTAATATTAACATAACAGTGGTACCCCCAGATAGCTATGTGCTGCCCGTCCAGAACGGCGGATGGCTCAGCTTGTATTGTTGCACGCTGCACGCGGCATACCCGCTGCAAGGACCCAGTACCTATGACTGGCTACAAACATGCCATTAAAAGTGCTTTTACAGAGTTATGCTTTCCGTCTTTCCTAAAATAGGTGCTTCATTAAGCAATTTATTTGTCAACTAGCTCACGTTATGCTTTCAATTATTACCAATCTATAGGCTGAACGGAAACATGCATGGATCAATCTTTGTTCTACCACTTGCAGTATCCCCCGATTGGAGCCGGAAGTGCGGTCCCAATGAGGTATTCAAGCAATGCGTGAGCAGCAGCTGTGCCGAACTCAAGTGCGGCATGGAACGCATGCCACTCCATTGCACCAAAGACTGCGTCAGCGGCTGCTTCTGCGCTCCGGGCTTCTACCGTAAGGGGCACACGGAATGCGTTCGCCGGAGCGAGTGCCTTTTCAAGCCCCTCAAGCCCATGCCTATGGCTTGAACGAATTTCAAGGCCGTTCCGTACCTCACTGGCGAGAGTGAACTGCTACTAAATAAAACTAGATGGTATCAGAAGAAACTTTTTGTGTTTCCGTGTTCTTACTCGGGAATTCGCGCGTGCCAAAGAGTAAGGACCTAAGCCAGTCTTGGTTTGTTCTCCAGAATAACTCAAAGTGTCTTAGATTATTTCTGCGCAAAGAAAAAGAAAACAAATGGAGCTCCTATGGAAATCTCAAGGACGTTCATTAGCAGAAGTTAAATTTTCATTTAAAACGATGGAACAGCATGCTTCGCCGAGTTAAAACTAGCTATTCTCTGGTTAGTGTTTTATTGAGCTGCAAGTTCATTTCGAATGCGTACTCAGGGCATACGGTGAGAAAGTAGGAGTTTCAAGAAGAAAAAGAATCTCCATGCTATAAAAATCGAGAGAATATGTAAGGAAACACAAAAGAAGCATATGTAAGAATCATGTTTATTTCTGGCTCTTCTGTTGTAAATGAAAAAGTTCTAAAGCGATATCAATGTTTAAGTAAAAATGTATGAGCTAAAAGTCGCAAAAGTGCATCGAAATAAAAGTACAAAGTACCACGACACACATGTATACCTTGTTTTTGCGAAAATGTTTGGATATTCCCAGTAGTATAGCGTATCAGCAAAGAAGAGACTGTTTTCGTCAACAAACTGATAGCCACGGCGGTAGCCGGAGCAGAGCGGGGATGGGAGACTGAAGATAAGAAGTACCTTATAATGCTTTATCGCTGTACGCGTTTGATACCACTATCTTTGTTGTGGAATGTGCTGCGAATAAGGTGAGGTTACATTGTTACCTTTATCATTCGTTCAATACCTGCGCGCCGAGAAACTGGGGGAGACGTGAAGACGAGAGAGCTCGCGGCCTTCAGAAACTTCGAGCTCCGAATGGAATGATTAGTGGGCAGAGTCAGAGCCGTTTATATAGAGAGAGTTTGTCGAGCTGGAGCACCGCGCAGAGATAAGTCGTGCACCAAACGCAGAAAGACGGATTGACATTCCCTCGTGGACAACCAGAAACCGTAAATAGTCCCTTAGCGGGGCGGGCGAGAAACAGTTTTAATAAGTGCGTTAGGGTTAACGGTAGCACGTCTTCGTGGTTGAAAGCATGGTGCACGTGATGTTTTGATTATGATCATGCGAAACGTTTAAGAAACAAATGTGCCGCTCAAACTCTCTTTGAGTCGAACTAGCGTGTCTACATATTTCCGCCGCTCCGCTGTTTAGAGTGGCGACCAAGGAGGTTAGAAGTACTAGGAGGGGGCACGTTGCAATATTGGTGAAGCCTAGTCATAAAAAGTTTAAACGATTTTGTGCCCAGCGTGACCGCAGATCTCTCTGGCGATTGGTGCGCGTGACATGTCACGTGTGAGATGGAGGGTTGATTGTAGGACGACTCCTTGCAGGCTTGCGCGCGCTCCGTCCGGTAGGTTTTGTCAGATCGAAGTCTAGACTGTGGTGTATTCTAGTACCCCATAGCAAGACGAAGGCTAGCTACGGTCACGTGATGTGGTCACGTTGGCATGGTAAGTGAGGAGAGTAAGGAGCAGGTAAGGAGGAAAATGAGAAAGAGGCGAGGCGTCAAGGCAGCATGGCTTGTGGAGGCTACGCGGCCGACGTCATGCCCACTCCTGCCCTTCTATTCTCCATGGTGGCGACAACGTTTATGATACCTGTTGCCGACAAACCAATGTTGCCTACCTCCTTACCATTGCAACGTCCGCTGTTTTCGTTGACCATTTTGTCACACTCGCCGGTCGTGCGCTCGGACGAACCTTACTAGAAATCCTCAGTTGGGAAACTGCCATAGAGCCAGATTTAATAAAGTGGCTCCGACCCCTACTCGAGAACCGAGCTAATGACGATCGCAACGCGGCCGTTTTTCCCGCAGCGTCCGCTCCGGGAACTGCGCGGCTGCACGTCGAGCCCGGCAAGGGCCGGTGGCGCCATCTCCCAGGAACATCTCGAAGTAGCTACGTAAACCAGCTTTCATGTTTCAACTCGTCACTAAAGGGCAGCGCTTTTATCGTATTTAGCTTGGTCTCGGTGGACGCCAGTGACCCAGGTTTCAAGGGTGAGTTTCCCAATTCAGGGTTTCAGTAACGTTGGCTCGGACTATGCCGCTAATCCCCGTTAGGGCTAAGGAGCGCTCATCGCTCTCGTTCCGACGGCGAGGTTTCGGCGTTCAATGCCGGTCTGGTGCGTTCCATTTGGTCGCGGAAACTCGCATTTCGATAAAAGCAACGCACACTTCCTGATAGCAACTTCGAAATATGAAACATCCGAATAAAGAGAACGACAGCCACCACGACCGCCATCCCGCTGAGCCTCCGACTCCTCTTATGAACGGAAACGGAAGTGGCCTCACAGTGTTGCCGGTGTGTCGAGACTAGAGAAACTCAACGTTGTGTACGTTTAGCGAAATAAGAAGTGGGAAGAAATGGCTGTGGAAGAGGATCTGGGGAAGGGTAACAAGAAGTTGGCGCCACCCTAAAGCGGAGCGGAAACATGTAGGCACCCTAAGTCGAACGGAGTCTGGTTGCTCGGACGCTGCAGATTCAAGGCCAGCCGACGCCTGGGGTACGGATAATGCCAATCGTACTGACAATTGCGTAAGTATTATTTTTTATGTATTTTTTTTAATTTTGAAATGTGCATTTATTTTTTAAAGGGACAATGAAGGCAATTTCGGAGATCTTTTTGGCGATTGAACTGGGTTCCAGGCACGTCTCAGGCCACGTTGCCCAAATTTCAGCCGAAACCGGCGCTTGTGCGCCGCGCAAATCAAATAAACAGTCGCGGTAATAATCGTACCGGGATCGACTGGGGCGACGCCCCAAGAGTTGCGGGAGAAGCCGGGAGAAGCGGAGCTCACGTGATCGATGCGGGGCCAAGGAGCGCGACGTCACAAGAGACGCGTCAGCGATTGGTCAAAACGAGAAACGTGCCCTCGGTCACGTTTTAGCTCGCGATTTTTAGAAATGCTGTTCTAATTTCCGCTTGAATAACCATCAAAAGTATAAATCGGATCGGAAATGATTACTAAACCGTAAATAAAGCAGCATCATTGTTTTTTTATTTGCTACGCTGGACGCGAAACCGGCAACGAGCAACTATGGGCCAACAAAATAAAATTAAAAAAGAACACGGTACTCGAAAGATTTTGCGAAATGGTAGCTGTAGATGGCTGTTCTAACGGTCGACTGAAGACCAGTATTCGTTCGGGCGACGCTAGTTTTCACGTGTGGGTAGCTGTTCGTGTTCTTTGACGACAAAAAGAGGACGTCCGCGGAGGAACCGGATCCCGGAACGGCGGGATCGCTGCCGCTTTCCCTTCGGCATCTCCCCCGCGTCCGTCCTTCGGCATGCGGGCCGCTCGTTGCCGGCTGGGCGGTCTCCGTCGGGTGATGGCAGAGGCCGCCACACACGTACTCCCGCTCCGTTGTTGTTCGGTCACTGAACGGCAGCTCGAACTCGCTCGCGAGAGCGGCATTCGTCCATGTTGACAGAGTCGGCGCAACGACCGCGCCACCGCGCTGCTATAACCCACCGCGGTAACCAGAGTCTCGATCTCCTAAATACTACTGATACCGACTATTCACACTTGACGTCATTCCCTACGTCACCTCCGTTTTCGGAGGCCCAGAAATGAGACTGGAGATGGTTCAGTTTCGGTTTCTTTACTTCTTTCGTCGGCACATAAATACGCGTCATAAATGTACACAAAAAATTGGGCGGCATGCTGTGTTCCCAAGAAGCATTAAAACACCATTTAAAAAAATTAAATAAAATCGTCTTCATTGTCCCTTTAAAGTGTTAATTAGCATTTCTGCACCAAAAGAGTATCACACGTGGAAAACATTGGGAGCAGCAGCAGAGGCTTTATTGTCGACGCTTCGTGCAGAGCCTGTTCTTTTTCCAGTGTAGAGAAACTCAAGTTGCAGGACGTTTCGGAGATCAAGAGAGAGAGAGAGAGAGAGACGGAGAGAAAACAAAAATAATATAGGCACACGTCAACCCCAAAAACAAACACACGCACAGGGGGCCACGATTACGACAAAACACAAACACGCAATAAAAAAAATGAAAACATGGTCATGACAGTCTTTAGAGAAAGCAAAAAATAAATAAATAATGAAGTAAAATGCCGATTAGGGATCTATTCCCAGTCCTAAAACGAGACATAAAAAGTATATTATTAAAATTACATGTGACCGTGATCGAAACATCACGTGCACCGTGTTTTCAGCCGACTCACGTATTAATTGTGTTTATCGCAACCAGCTCCACGGTATTATTCGCGGCTTCAAGTTGTCCACGTTCGAAACTCTGAATGCGCCCTGGAACAAGCCCAGGCCGCTTTCGGCCAATCGCAACTCCAGCGCGCCGCTCGCCCTCCCACGGACGAACGGAAAACCAGAGGAGCGGGGACGGCAGCGGCGACGGCGGCACGAAAATGGTGGCAGGGCCTTGATGCGTGAAACCGTTTTAACAAAAAGTGAGCGCGTTCAAAAAAGGAATCCTTGTGCTCCGCCTTACAACAGCCTTGCACAAAAGTCCGGAAGGTCTAATTTCATTAGGGACGTTTCGTGTATCGCATACGGTGCGGATTTCTGGTCTTGTGCATGGCCGCAGCTCATTATGTGCTCAACGTGACGGAAAACGCTCCCACTAATAATGAAGAACTTTATAGTACGGACTACGGAAAGTCTATTTTTGCCATAAGTAGGAGAAATTTAGTCGCGCAACGGTATGTCAAGCAATACAAATCGGGAATGGGTTCGCGTTTTAAGACCGTTACAAGGAACGTGACAATTTATTCCAAGCACTTTAAATATAGAGAATACCCGTACTTGGTTTCAGGTCATTAGAAAGCAAATAAAGAAATGCTCGAAGCATTGTAAGCGCGTCTTGTGTTAGCCAGCCGTTTGTGACGAGAGCTTAGAACGCGCAGTTTTGGCCAGAGGGACCGCAATGTTGCAAATAACACCGGTACAACAAATGCACGGTATATTAAAATATTTTTTGATAGAGCAATAAATAAAACCC